GTATTTTCCCCAAAGTAAAATTCCCCCACCACTATGTTTAAACAGGAGGAGTGTGAGTTCAGGAGGATGTTCCCGCTATTCCTCCATAGTGACCATATTTGTGGATTATCCTGTCAGTAGGTTCTGAGCCAGGGATCTCTGCAGCTCCCCAGAAGTTACAATGGACTGCTATAGCTTATCTTGACTAATAATCTGCTTGCTGTTGACGGGAAAATAAAAGGTTGTCTAAGTTGTCTTATCTTGCAGGGGAGAACAGATAGAGTGTTGCTAACGTTCCTGCCTGATCTGGTCACGCAGGTTTTCACAAACTACTTACAGTAAGAATGCTGATGAAGGTTCTCAGTCATCCAGGGCATAGTACTATTCTGATTGCTTTAAGAATCATTGACAGGTTTCAGATATTACAGGCTAACGATGGAACCAAAACGACCCTTTCATCGGTTACCATTTGCATGTTTCCAAGCGATACAAGGCTTTGTCTATATAAGACTCAAACTCACTGCGGATCCAGACATTTGAATTGAGAAAGCTTCCTGGAGAGGTGGCGAAACGTCTTCAAATCTTGGAAACCAAGTCCAGTAGATATTTTTTTGAATTTTTACGGAATACAGTAAGAATCACAGGGAGAGATTCTCAAAGACAAAATAAACAGTTTCTCACATAGTTTCTCACAAACTGAAGGATTTGTTGAAATAATCTTGAGGCATCATCTATCATGTAAAACTGGAAAACAGCTTCTGAGGCACCAGGAAGAAAATACACGCATCAACATAGTTAACAGGAGATGTAATAGTAAACAGATTTTTCTGACCACACTCCGTATATCGGTTAAGGTTTGCCGCCATACCATACTCTTTCCACTTTCAGATGATGGATATTATGATGTCTGAAAACTTAAAATCTTACAAAATTATTGTGGAAATTGAGCCTATTGTTCTAGACTCATGTTCTATAATAAACCTCCGGCCTTTACAGAAACGTTGAACATACAGAGTTCTTATTAAACAAAACTGGCTCTGTTTACTGGTTCAGTATTGGGCTGCCCCGGAATTTATTTAGGAGTATTATAAGAGTGAGCATTTATACTCTCTTTTGTGTTGGTGAATCGCAATACAAATAAAATACATGTAAATGTAAATACATGAAAATAAGCTTTGAGTCATTATTTTTTTTTATCTTACTGTATACAATACTCTGCTGGGAAAATAAACCTTCCTAGTTTCCCTGTGTATATTACTGGGACATTGCTGATATCTACTTGAACCTTTGTGCAAACTTGTCACACGTTACAATAAAATAGCAGCAGTTTAGCCCTCTGTTGTGAATCTGTAGTTAGAACTAACTGCTTAGAAAAATCGCCTGATTATTGGTCATCACCTCTAGTCCTTAGACACTTTCCTCAAATGATTTGTGGAGTGGTCCAGAGCCTTTAAAGCTATTGGTAAAGTAGAAAACTCATAATACTCCAGATGTTGTTAGTTAAGCCAGGTATTTTGCTGGCTAGACAAAGACATGTTTTATAGATCTTAAATCTCTCTATAGACTGAAGTTTAAAAAAAAACTGAGCACATGGTGTTCAAGTTAGGCATCAGTGAGTGACAAACAAAAACAGAGCCAAGTGTGGCTGTATTAAATGCAGCAGAGGAGCTAATGGTCACAATAACATCCAATAATTAATCACCTCTTTAGTTTTATTGTGTTCATCAGCGGCACACTCACCTTCGGATGGCACTGTGTTTTCCATGCTCCAATGCATTTTGTGATTTGTTTCTTTGAAGGTGAGCACATCTACTCTGGAGAATGCCTGCAGGAGATGTTTGTTGTCTGCAGAGGGCTCGGGGAGAAAGACAGCTGTGTCACTGCATAATAATTCCTAATAGCTGCTTACATTTTGGAAAAAAAAAAAAGAAAGAAAGAAAGGGTAATAAACTGCTTTTGATGAACCACTTAACATATGTGTATGATTATAAAGTTTAGCAGGAAAATATACCAGCACTGCAGCACTTAACCTTGATAGACAGTATTTGTGTTGTGGGGATGATTCTCATCACAAACTGTCTATCCTCCTCTATGCGGAGACTGTCTGCCTAGTTAACTGACATAGTGCTGAAGGCCTTTCTGCCCATGAGTCCTTGTCTAGATAAACTGATGCATTGTTTCAAAATGAGAACTGTTGTTTCATTTTGAATGGATGTCTTCACTTATATATATATATATATATATATATATATATATATATATATATATATATATATATATATATATATATATATATATACCTATCCATTTTCCATCACGCTTTATCACAATTGGGTCATGCGGGGTGCTGGTGCCTGTCTCCAGCTGTCTACGGGCGAGAGGCGAGAAGGAGGATTTAGAGAAGCCAATTAACCTAACAGTCATGTTTTTGGACTGTGGGAGGAAACTGGAGTACCCGGAGAGAACCCAGGCATGAAAAGGGAGAACATGCAAACTTCATGCAGAAAGAACCTGGGCTGGGATTGGAACACAGGACCTTCTTGCTGCAAGGCAGCAGTGCTACCCATTGTGTGGAAATCTAGTAATCAGAAACTGTGACTGCAGAGGTTGCTGCTAAGGATGTGTGCTAAATTAAAGGTGTCATATAGAGTAAGTAAGAAAGAAAGAAAGAAAGAAAGAAAGAAAGAAAGAAAGAAAGAAAGAAAGAAAGAAAGAAAGAAAGAAAGAAAGAAAGAAAGAAAGAAAGAAAGAAAGAAAGAAAGAAAGAAAGAAAGAAAGAAAGAAAGAAAGAAAGAAAGAAAGAAAGAAAGAAAGAAAGAAAGAAAGAAAGAAAGAAAGAAAGAAAGAAAGAAAGAAAACTATAATGTTTACAGTAGAGTAGAAGCTGGTTTTGAGGCAGATAATACTTATTTTGATTTTCACATGAATCTTAATTCCCTTCTCACATCAATAGTCATTAATGCCCTCATAGCAGAACAAAGATGTTCACATAAAATATATTTTTCAGTTGTAAACACTTTTTGTATGTTATAGTGAGAACAGCGCCATCTGGAGTCATTGTCTGATAGTCACAGAATGGGAACTTACTATAACTGATCTTTGTTGAGTTAAGCTTTTTTTTTTTTTGCACAGAAATAGTAAATGAATAGACCTTTGTAAGACATGCCACTCCCTTAATCTTTAATATACTTTCAATTTTATACTAATTTCAAACTATGGGTTTTGCAATAATATTTTGCTGCTGTAACGCCACAATTTCCCCATTGTGGGACAATAAAGGGATTTTCTATTCTATTCTAATGGGTCCTGGTCTGAGAATTCTGTGTAACATCAGACTTCAAGTCAATCCGGACCAAGCCAACAAACATGTGCTTAGGGTCTCTCTCTCTATTTTTTTCCCCATAAAACACAGCCTGTTTTACAGATGTTGACTTGCCTTCAAAAGTTAAAGCTCAGCTAATATAAGCAATGAATAACTATTCTTTTACAAAGTTTAACTGTCTTTAGTCATGTCCCATCTGCACCAATAAGAGTCTATACCTCTGTTAGTAATGTGGTAAGTTATTAAAGAACCATGTTTGTTGCACATAATTATAAGGGAGGGTCCTGAGTTTCCCCTTTTTTCTAATTATAGGTTTACTGCAAAATTACACCTTCCCATTTCTTCTTTCTGTTATCAACAAAACATTTCAATAAAAAAAAAAAAAAATTTTAATCAAGGTTTCAGAGTGTAAACCTTTTAACAAAAATGCTCACAAATATTTAGCAATATCCAATACCTCTTATATAAAAAATAAAAACACACAAACAGCAACACTCCCTGCATTACTGCAACTAAAAAAGCAATATTTTTCACATTCCATGAGCTAAATTAATTTTGCAAAACAATAATTAAATTCAACTTTGGTGACAGGTTGAGCAACAAACTCAAATTAGGTATAAAATGGAATTGGTCTAGCCAAAATTGACATATTTAAACAGATGTAAACCTAAGAAAACTAGACCAAAATACTAAATAACCAGTTATTTTTCAATAAACTTGCTTACTAAACAAAATATTATTGCTGTTTTGGGTTGTGTTCTTTACAAAGTAACAGTGGGAATTTAATCAGCTGATATTAGCTAGTTAATTTGCTAAGATATTGGATAGGTTCGCCTGCAGACTTCAGCTTACATTAACTGTCACTCTAGACCTCGTGCATAACATCTAGAAAGTTTAAAGCACCTTTTGTGAAATTCAGAAATTTTCTTATAGCTACATTAAGCCTGTTGACAAGCCAATGTGTCTGTGTGGGCCAATGTATTCAATCTATGTTATGTGATATAGAGAGGAACTTTGTGAAGACCTAATGGAGAAAGTGATCACACAGGGAACACTGTAAGGTTATTGTTTCAAAAAGCTTTTAAACTTTTTAAAATTTTAACAAACAAAAAAAAAAAAATCTAAATATGTGGAAGTATACTGTTTGTAACAATATTCTACCCTTTAGGGTGATAAACATATTTAGCCCAGTTTTTTTTTTTTTCATCATATTTTTAAGAAAGTTTTGCATAAAAGCTAATTATTTGAATGTATTTGACAAACATTGGATTTTTTTTTTTTCTCCAAACATCCCTTTTAATAGTGGTATTTTTCTTGCGTTTTAACAAATCCCCTCACGAGCAAAACTTAGTTTGGGTGTTACATAAACATACAAAGATTGTTAATAAGCTTGTTTGTTTTAATTAATCTCGTTTTGCCAGATTATTAATGGCATGGCGTTATTTGTTTGGGTTTTTAACTGCTTTGTCGTGGTTTGTCATTAAAGGGGAAGCCACACGACGACAATATTGTTTATATTGCGAAACGAAAATTGCAAGACGCGAACACATTTACACAACCATCAACAAATACAATGCTGTTAAATTTCTTAAGTGGTTGTTGTCAGGGTTTTAAATCCCGTCAACATGTTTGTTGTATGAATAACTGACCCACCTCCAGAATCCTGAAAGTGGGCCCTTCCATGTCGATGATGTCATTTTAACAAGGTGAGCGGCCATTTTGTTAGCCCTGTGTAGCTGTGTAGATTTCGTTCATCAAATTTCATTGAAAGTAACAGCTTGTATACGTTTTTGCTTATGTTGTGTTTTTGATTAGAGGCTTTTATGTTAGAATACGACGTGTTTGTCCGCTGACATTAAACACAGTCATTCATTTTTCGAGCCGCTTTGAGTTTGCTAGCTCTTCGGCTAGCTGGCTAACTTGTTTACGTGTTTCGTTTGGAGGAAACGTTTCACTGTCATGACCGCCAGCTTTTAAATGTTTCAGTTATCGAATAAGCACGGTTTGTCCGCTTATGACTCCCGTCGTTTTGGTCTTTCAATTTAGTTTTCATTGAAGAAAAGTTAAGCCAAGTTCGGGGATCTTCAAACTCTACGTGTACCATTGTAATTAACTCGAACTCCGTCATCGGCTGACTGTTGTCGGTTCAGCGCTCGGCCAACCCGAAGCAACATGTCAGAGCTGTACATTCGGGTGGCTGAGGATGAGAATGAGGAGCCCATGGAGATCCCCTCGGAGGACGATGGGACTGTTCTGCTTTCCTCGGTGTCAGCCCAGTTCCCAGGGGCTTGTGGTTTGCGGTACAGAAACCCGGAGTCCCAGTGCATGAGGGGAGTTCGGTTGGTAGAGGGAGTCCTGCATGCACCAGAGAGCAGCTGGGGAAACCTGGTCTATGTCGTCAACTACCCCAAAGGTGAGATAGGAAGCTTTTTTCCCGTTGTTTACAAGCAGACTCGTATGTGACGAGCTATCTTAATTTCTGCATTGACTGCATTAATTATATCTGTTAGGGATATTAAACAAAATCCATTGTATGAGATAGTATTTTAGCTCTATTCTTGTTTATTTACATTGCATTGCATTAGGAAGTACTCCTTCTCATTGTTACTCATGTTCTCTTTTCCCCTGTTGCAACACACTTGAGTCATTAACTTGCTCCTGCACAACTGAATGACATGCTTGGGAAATAGTGGTAATTTTCAAGTCCAAGAAACAACACGCCTAACGTTGTAAAGCTGTTACTTTAGGACCAAATTCCACAATCAATTGAAATTAACAAAAGAAAAAAAACTTTACTGTGAAGATAAAAAAAAAAGGGAAAGTTAGCCATACTCCTCCATATATCCCTAAAAAGTCAGGAAAGTATTTATTTCTATGATAAGTTAAAGATTAGTAGATTAAGGAATATTACCTTTCAGATGCCTGAATGAATGGGTCTTAATATTTAAATTAAAAAGTTTTTTAGCCACACTGCACATCATATTTCCCCCCAGTTCACACCTGCTTTTAATCGCATGATTAAAGTAATTTCTGATGTTCATGATCCTGATAATACATTCCAGTGCATGTATGATTTAAGCATTTTACAGTCAGTAATGTGAGGAGTTCTACAAAAACACTTAACTACCAGGTGAAGTAAAAGCGATGATGTAAAGGTTACATGATATGCAAAATTTTTTGATTCAAGATTGAATGTGAAGTCCGTTGGAGAAAAATGCTACAATTGTGCTTGAATTAAGTGTATGAGTTAGGTAAGAAAAAATTGTCACCTTTGTTGGGAGAAGTGGACTTCAGAAAAACAAAGCTTTATATAAAAACAACTGATAATAAAATAAATGGTCTATTTTTTTTTTCTTATGTCAGAATCTGTTTATTGTTCCCAGATAACAAAAGGAAGATGGAGGAAATAGACGCAGCATCGGCTGTTAAAGTAAAAAGAGGGTTTCAGAAAACATCTGATCTCATAGTGCTCGGGCTGCCTTGGAAAACAACAGAACAAGACCTGAAGGATTATTTTAGTACCTTTGGGGAGGTCATCATGGTACAGGTACTAATGTTTCATCCAACTAAATCCTCTTAAGCCTGCCTTTTCAGCTCTAAAAATATTTAGGGCTTATTTTAAAATGTCGATGGAGCTTTTATTCTTGCTCTTTGCTTTTTCCAGGTGAAGAGGGATGCAAAAACTGGCAATTCAAAAGGATTTGGGTTTGTCCGCTTTGCTGACTATGAGACACAAACTAAAGTTATTGCTCAGAGACACATGATTGATGGACGATGGTGTGACTGTAAGCTTCCAAACTCAAAGGTATGCTGGACCCCATTTATCATACATTCTCAATGTTTTGTTGTTTTTATTTTTTAATTCAGACCAAACTTCTTTATCAGGCATCTCCTGATGAACCGATGCGGAGCCGTAAAATCTTTGTGGGCCGCTGCACAGAGGACATGACGACAGATGATCTGAGGCAGTACTTCATGCAGTATGGGGAGGTCACTGATGTCTTTATTCCCAAACCTTTCCGGGCGTTCGCATTTGTCACATTTGCTGATGATCAGGTATGAACTGCTGCCCTCCCCTTACACTGAAAATGCTTATATTATAAGGTTCAAAAATATGAATTAAAAGTTTGCCTTGCTGAAGTATTCCTATCTGTCAAACATTTTCTTAAAACTGCAAACATTGGTGTATTTTGTGGGTTTTATGATAGCTCTGCATAAATTAGTGCATAACTGTAAAAGAAATTTACAATATATATATATGAATAAAATTCATTTTAAGCAGTTACCTGAAGAAGTCTTGTTGGTAATAAACTCCATATGAGTATAATTTAATATCAGAGATTTAAATCCATGTCAATTCTTTAAATTTCTATATATATATATATATATATATATATATATATATATATATATATATATATATATATATATATAAAAAAAGAGCTAGCCCATGCTTAAAGGAATAGTACACCCAAAACATGATTAGCCTTAATTTTCTACTCACCCCCATGCTGAACAACACTCTGGAGTACTTTTTTGATATCTCAAATGCATCTGGAGATCTGGGAGGCTTCTTGCTGTCTGCTGACATTCAAATAATGGAGGTCCATGGTGCCCGAGACAGAAAGGTCCATAAAAGTCCACAAAAAACGTGTCAATATTCCTCCATACTGCTCGTCCAATGTAATCCAAGTCTCCTGAGTGGGTAGCATCCAGAATTTACTCGAAACGAAGTCATTTAGAATGTTTTTAGAGCATAAACAGTAGTGTATAGGATTTCCTGAAAGCGCGCACATGCGCGTTCACGACGCTACGGAAGCCGGCACACCAAACCAGATGAAAGTGCGCATTCAGCGTCTGCTCTGCCAATAATGCAAGCATAGAAGAAGAAATGTGCTGTTTACCTGTGCAAAGAAAGAAACAACGAAAGAAAAATGTCTGAGGACTTCAGTGTTGAGGAAGAGCATGAGTTCTTTGCCGAGCTGAATGCGCTGGTTTGGTCTGCCGGCTTCCGTAGCTTCGTGAACGTGCACGTGCGCGCTTTTAGGAAATCCTGTACACTACTGTTTATGCTCTAAAAACATTCTAAATGACTTCGTTTTGAGTAAATTCTGGATGCTACCCACTCAGGACAATTGGAATACATTGGACGAGCAGTATGGAGGAATATTGACACGTTTTTTGTGGACTTTTATGGACCTTTCTGTCTCGGGCACCATGGACCTCCATTATTTGAATGTCAGCAGACAGCAAGAAGCCTCCCAGATCTCCAGATGCATTTGAGATATCAAAAAAGTACTCCAGAGTGTTGTTCAGCATGGGGGTGAGTAGAAAATTAAGGCTAATCATGTTTTGGGTGTACTATTCCTTTAAGCCTGGGTCAGATGAGACCACCACTTCCCTTGTTAGACATGGAGGGGGTGGCATCATGCTGAGGGAATGCTTTTCGTCACCAGGGACTGGGATGGTGGTCAGTGTGAACAGAAAGCTGGGCAGTTAAAAACTAGGCAGACCTGGAAGGAAAACCTGCTAGAAGTTACAAAATTCAATATGAAATTTGAGGCTTAAAAGTTGATGTTGACGGATTAATTTTATATGATCTGCCAGAGATCAAGCTTTTTTATTTCAATTTTAAATAATAATAACTGGGCTATCAAATTAATTTCCCAGAGAACACATTGAAGGCTGTGAATACGTTTGCAAAGCACTGTATTTATGGATAACACACAACTGTACTAAGTATAAAACAGACAGCTATAGTTAAAAGGTAACAACTGGCTGTGATGGTTCTTATTCTCACTCACTCTCACTCTCCCATAGGTTGCCCAGGCATTGTGTGGAGAGGACCTGATCATCAAGGGCGTCAGCGTGCACATCTCCAACGCTGAGCCCAAACACAATAACAGTAGGCAAATGATGGATCGGGGCCGGTTTGGGGCTGGCGGGTTCAGTCAAGGGTATGGCAGTAATCGTGGGGGGCTAGGTGGCGGCAGCGGAGGGGTTAACTTTGGGGCTCTGGGTCTTAACCCAGCTATGGTGGCAGCAGCTCAGGCAGCACTGCAGAGCAGTTGGGGAATGATGGGCATGCTGGCTAACCAGCAGGGGTTGACCACGGCGGCAGGCACAGCCTCTACGACCAGAGATCAGACATACAGCTCTGCCAGCACCAGTTACAGCAGCCCCAGCTCAGCTAGCCTCGGCTGGGGTGCAGGCACCAACACCGCCTCAAACAGCGGCTTCAGCTCCGGCTTTGGCACATCAATGGAGTCTAAATCTTCTAGCTGGGGAATGTAGACAGCTGAGGGTTGACGTTTTCTCTTTCTGTTAGGCATATCTGGTAAGTACACCTACAGGAAGGAAGTGCTTATACTTTATTTAAAAATGAAACACTGCCTTTTATTTTATCAAAGCGAACGTTTCTACTTGTGTGGCTGTGTAGTCATACATGGAATGGGTGAAAAGTTTAGTTTGAGGAATCTTCCAAACTTTCTAGTTTTGTTTGTGAGAATACGTTATGAAGAGATGACTGTGCATGCACCATAACTATTTATAAACATGCACGAGTGTTTAGGTCTCCCTGCAGTCCGTCGTACGCTGGCTGTTAGATAATTATATATTTATGCATTATATTGGGTTTTTTTTTTGGTTGGTTGGTTATTTCCTCTGTTGGAAACGCCTTCATGAACGTTTCTTCCGCAGTTCACCAACTCTTTCACAATTTCCCGGGAGGAGTCACATCATTGGCTGCAATGCTCGGCAGATCTCAGTATCCCTCCTCCCACATGTAAATGCTTTATCATCCGAGGTCACAGCTTCAGTCTGCGTATACAGTGTTAGACGGTGGGTGTTGCCTTTCTTTCCTCTCTTTTTCTGTTTTTATTTTTCGGGATATAGGGTCTGCCACTGTCGCTTTTTGATCTCGATGAATGGATTCGGTGTTGGACTGAATGAGAGTGAGCAAAAGGACGGAAAGCAAGTACTGTTTGTGCTTTATTTTTATTTTTTGAAAGACAAATGCCTGGGAGAGATGAGAAGAACCTGTGGCTTTTTGTGCGAGTGTGAGAGAAAGAAGCAAAGTACGTGTGTGTTCTCAGTGACCATCACAAGGACATTTGTTGACATCTCAAGAGCCCAGATTTTTCTACTTTCTCATATCGTTTTCTATCCAACCCTGATTCTTTACAAAAAAACAAACAAACACTGAATTGTCAAGTGCTTTGAATATCTATATATTTTAGTAGATCTTTTCTTGCTGTCCAGTTCGATGTGAATGCCTGTGTTATTTTCTCCTTGTTACCACCCTGTTTGTGTGAAAATGTGACTTTGTTTGTGAAGTCTGTGTGCAGGCGGGGAAACACAGAAAGAGTGCTGAAGTTTGGGCGATGTTCCTGGTGAATGTTTGAACAGATCCCATTGGAAGTTTGTGTTTGAAGTGGTTTTGAATGCATTTTCTATGTTTTGTGAATTAAAGGGAAGTGTGAAATAAAACTTAATTTGACTAGGAGGAAAATACCCTCTTGACAAAGACTTGTTTTTGACTTTAATCGAACTGCCAACACTTTAATTCACATGTTTAGGTTCGACAGATATGGAAAAGCCAGGCTTTCTTCTGAGCCCTGGTTTGGAGTCTGCTGTGCTGAAGATGAACGGGAAACCGCCTTAAATACGGAAGGATCTACTTTGCCTCGTTAGCAAGAAAAATTCAACCACTTATTTAGATGGTATAATGATCAAATCACATGTTTGTTTTCTTCAGATATTGTATCAAGTTAAATTTACGTATTAAATTGTCAGTGTTGCCCTGTTAAGATTTCTACCTCACTGGAACATTTTCATGAACATATTCCCATTCACAAGTCACTGATATATGAAAGTATAAAATGTGAAACTATCAATGTCAAGGTTTGTATTAGCGCAGCAGGATAGATTAACTGCTGTTTACTTTCGTGAAGTGTATTTTCATTTTGCAGTCTAAAGATTTGAGTGCAAAATCCCACTTTGTTTTGAGGTGCTAGAGTTGCATTGTAAAATAAAGAATAGTTTTTTTTAATAATATCTGGTCTCGATGTTGGTAAAATGGATTTGTCTTTGGAAAGAGTTGGTTAGTGAGGTTTTTAATATATATTGTATTATGCACAGATGGACACCAGGGGGTGCTACAGCACCTGCCCTGTTCCCATCTGGACAAAACATATTTTTTTTGTTGTTGCTTTATTTAGTCTTCGGCCCAAAATACCGTTGATGAATTTAAAAATCTATCAAACCCAGAGTCGAGATTTTTGTCATTTTGACCCTCGAGACGTGTAGCACCTCCTCAATCAGCTAAAGGTCCAGGTAACTTAAACAAGCACATTAACCTCCACCAACAGATTAGTTTATATAATGGCCTCTACCAGGCACCAATCAACGGTTTAAAATGCAACTCTGATTAAATTAGAAAAAATACATTTATTTATGCATCCCATAGATGTAATTATTGATTTCCTATAATGGTACCTGTCAGGGACAGAGTCACCCTGATGACATGTTTTTGACTCGTGTCGTTTTTATTGACAACTAAAGCACAAAAGTTACCTTTTGTCTTTTTTGACATTTCATTTTAAAGCAAACATAATTCCACCAAACAACCATGATTCCTAAAAATAACTTTAAGGTTATATTCAGTTAAAGTGCAGCTTGTAAATTAAGTTGTATTTTCAATTTTTGTGTTTATTGAAAAATATCTTGTACGGTAAAACTTTGTAAACTTTTCTTAAAATAACTATTCGCTCCTAATCTGAGCAGAAAAATAAGATGATCTGTCAGTGCAATGAGAGTTTTTTAACTTTAAAATAAGATAAAATAACTTTAAGATCATTTTCGCTATGTATCCAGCAGAAGAAAGGCTGTTGAAGAAATGGGAATTATCAGACTTAAAGACTAATGATAGCACTTGCATGTAAACAAGAAGCAATTGTGTTTTACAGTATAAACTGTTCCCTGCACTGATAACTATGTAGACCGTGTTTTTTCATATTCTGTTTCTGCTCTATCCTTCAATTGTGTTCCTTTTCCCCCATAACTGAAGGATAAAGTAAAAAAAAAAAAAAACTTTCTGTTGTCTATTGTTTTTCAGGCTTCTTTATATATCATTGGATTTGGAATTGTTATTTATTTCAATTCAGTTTATTTATATGGCACCAATTCACAACACATCTCAAGGCACTTTACAGTTCAACCAGATCATACAGTCAAATTGATTCAAAGTTTTCTATCTAAGGAAAACCAGCTGATTGCATGGACTCATTGACTCGGATGAAATCCCTCACATTAAGCATGCTTGTAGCGACAGTGGAGAGGAAACTTCCCTTTTAACAGGAAGAAACCTACAGCAGAACCAGTCTCAGTGTGAGCGGCCATCTGCTGAGGCCGGCTGGGGTTCAAGGAGACAGAAGCAGAGATGCTTTAATAGAGACCAATATGGCTTGGGTAGACTGTTAACAGATAGCTCTGTCACTGTGCATTCGTAGTGCCCTCAAACCTGAACAACATGTTATTTTGATGAGGCTGGGGTTAGTGATGCCTCTTCATTGTACAAACGTGTATGATGTGATGATGTAGCAGGTTGTCTGTATAAAATGCTTCTTTAAGCGGGATTATGGGCTGACTTTTTGAAGTAAGCGCTGCCATTTATGTATAACAAGCCATTTCCCTGATCTGAGTAAGATTTCTGTCAAAATCTGTTGCCATGTCTCATAGTTTTTTAATGCATAAAAATGACAGTTTTATTTGAATGTGATCTTTTCTCAGGAAAAAAAATAGGGAAAGAGAAAGCTTAAAGGCGTAAACACAGAGATTCCTTTTACAGTTTAACATTGCTAAAACATAAAGCTATTTTTAGCATCTTGCCACTTACTCTGGATATTATCAGAGAATGTGTGGATACATGTGTTTAATTATACTGGTCTACTAAAATTTAACAAACAGGTCAGCAAAAAGTCTGTATGCCTGTAAACTTCTTGAACTTTAAACATCAGCATCAGGAAAACCTGTTTTTGCCCACAAGATCACATTTAAACTGAGATGTAACCGTGTAAATAAACGGAGAGGACTTCGTAGCCGACAGAGGAATGCGAGAGTTTTTATTTATATTTTTTATTTATATTATATATATTTTATTTTTTTGGTTTTGTTTTTGCTGGGTGGGTGGGATTGAAGTCCTAACTGAGGAGCGGAATAATGAGCTCGCAATGCATTATGGGTAATTTCAGACAACGTGCAAGTCTTGTAAAACGCCAACCTTTACATTAAATTTAGTTTTTACTTGTTAAATACATTCCTTATAAGTTATACTAGTCATTGTCTATGTGTCTGTTTTCTACTTTGTAATATGAAACAAACACGCTCCACGTGTAATTTGCACCATCACAGAGAAAGGTATGGCGGTCATATTAGAATGAGGGGAGTGGACATGGTCAGTTAAGACTATACTTTCAGGGATTATTTCTATAGTTTCTAACTTGAGAAATGTGCTCCTAAATTGTATGGACTCGCTAACCACGATGATGAGGTAACGATACTTCTTCCTGAGCGCGAAGCTGGTAAAGATTGGAGATTTTGTCACGTGATCTTTGCTTTTGATGACCGTTCACTGCTCCTGCTGGAGCAGCGATGGAGGGAGTATTGTCAGAGTGGTTATTATATTACTGTTAAAGAAAACATGTGAAATAAATATTTCTTGAGTTGTGAGATTCAGTAATTTTAACTTTGCTAGTATATGCATGTGACAAAGTTTGAATCATCAGCGGAGCATCTACTTTGCAGGTAGAGATACTTACAACAATAGCTGTAATTCAACGAATTAAGTTAAATGATGTACTTGGTTAAAGTATGCTTTAGGACTGCTCAGATTGATTTCTACTCGCCTATGGGTCACTGTAAAAATTTGCGTAGCTGTATGTGTGTTATGTATTCTCCAGGTGCACAGTTCTATATCGGTAAACACTTTACAGTACGGTATTTTATTTTTTATCTTTTCACTCTTCACTATTTTGTTATTCTTATACATTTTTTCTATTTTTTTTTTTTTTTTTTTTTTTTTTTTTTGCTGCTGTAAACACCACAATTTCCCCATTGTGGGACAGTAAATGGATTTTCTATTCTACACAGTATGGAAGAGTATTAGGGTCAATGGGGGAAAAAGTTAACAGATTTTTAAATATTTCAGTTTAATATGAGAAAAAAGAGTCAGAATTCTGACTTTTTTCTCACAATTCTGACTTTAATCTCTGAATTCTGACAGCTAACAAACATGTTAGCACCAAGCCGTAGCCATGTCTATTTTAGAGACTAAACTAGCTCTCTTGTTTTTATCACCTTCTGCGCTTCTATTAATGAAATAGTATCACCGGGGACCCCTCAGGCAAGTAAAAAGTCACCTAATTCTCTCATTTTCCACCATTGTGTTACTGGCCCTTCCCAACAACTCACATCTTTGTCAGAGAAGCTCAGCGCTCCCACATCTCTTCCTTCATGGTGCCCATCTACATTAAGATCCAAAACTCTGAGATTAAAATCAGAATTCTAATATTAAAGTCAGAATTCTAAGAAAATTGTCAGAAATCTGAGAAAAAAGTCAGAAATCGGAGATTAAAGTCAGAATTCTGACTTTTTTCTCATACTGAAATAAGATTAAAAAATCAGTTACTTTGCTGGAATTTTTTCCCGGTTCCTCATTCAAACAAAATGTTCAACAAAAAATCAGTCAACTTTTTCTGTTTTTCCAGTGGCCCTAGACCTCTTCCGAAATACAGCCCCATAATATTTATGGTGGAGCATATTTAAGACAAATTCTCATATTACTTTGCTGGAATTTTTCCCCGGTTCCTCATTCAAACAAAATGTTTTATTCTCTTGCCTCAGTAAATGTAACTAAAGGTCGTCTAAATTCTGCTATCAGTTAGGAAATATCTACAGACTGTTATCCAATCACCTGCTTTGATTAAGTTACGCCTCCTTTTATGAAGAAGGAAGCGCAGATGGGACATTTTAAAATCTGTGGGGTTTCTGTGCAGTTATATATTTAATTTTCCAAAGGGAATGTGTCACCGTTCCGGAGTGAAAAGAACACAATTATCTGATATCATCCAACATAGTACATGTTGAACTGTAATGTAGTAATTTCAGTTTATCAGATAGGGATGTAGTTACAGTCTCCCACCGGCAGGTTGTGCTGTTGCGCATTGTTTCAAAGTTAGACTCAATCAAGCTGCTTTAAGATTTCCTATTTCTGAATATAGGGTTAAAAAACATACACATAATGAAGATTAGAACAAATTTATATTTGAAAATACAATAAAGGAAAGGCAGGATTATACAGGTGACCCTGTAGACATTTCTGACACTGCTGTTTATCCCTGGTATGTGTTCAGAAAGACATAAAAAAAAGTGTCAAAGACAAGAACAGCAATAATATTATTTGAACTCCAGTGACATGAAGGGCCCGAAGACAATAATGTTAAATAGTTCCTGTTGTGGAACCTATGCAGACATCACGTAAAAAAATACCTTTTATGATTTCTTTATGTATAAAACATTGCTCACTTGAATCTTTATCTTTGGCGCTGAAGTGACAAAGAACCTCATGTTGGCTCCAGAGCTGCACATATTCTATGCAAGGGAACAACAATAACAATACTACTGCAACTTTAAGAATTCTAAGCACTGCTTATAAACGTATACAAACTTGATTAAAAGTGAGAAGTTATCTATATGTTGCCTGCTTTACAGAATCTAGCTGTCAGTGACCTTTGAAGCAGGAAAACCCAAAGTATTTTGTGTCACTTGGTAGACACAGACATAATGGCTCATTGGTTTATAGATAGAAAAAAAGCACCAAGGATCTGTCACTCTTTTGCTGTATAGAAGTTTAGTCAAATTTATCGTCTCAGTATTTGTGTCAAATTTCAGGAAAATACTAATTTATTTGATCATTAAATTATAATTTTTTATCAAACAGCATTTCTGTCTCCACCAAACAGTTCTTGGCAGTAGGGAAAATAATTGGAGCGACAGCACTGCATTTTCTCTTCCTCCTCTGAAAACAAACATCTATGGAGAACTCAGGGAAGCCTGTTCATTGATGGATTTAAAATGAACAGTTGAATCTGTCAGTTTTAGTCTTATCATAATATTGATAGTAGCTATTGCTCACCAGTGAATTAAAACTGAGTTTAGAGCGGCAGTGGATCTCAAAAGTAAAAAAAATCCCATTATTTTTTGATGTGAAAAAAAAAATCATCTACCATCAACTGTCATTAATATAAATAAGAGGTTGTGAAAAATGTAATTGTTTAAAGGTGTCAGTCAAGACTAAGATACCAAAGAATATAATATTGCACTTCTGGTTAGACCTAAACTGCATTTCGTTGCCTTGTACCTGTACCTGTGTAATTGTAATGACAATAAAGTTGAATCTAATCTAAACCAAATATAATAGTTATGAAAGACAAATATAAGTGGAGAAAATATAGGAAAACAGTGACATTACTAATGTCACTAATAATTCAAGTTTACACAAAGATACTGAGCAAAAAACTAATAATAATAACAAAAGTTTGTCGGTGAGGCTGTTTGAGTAACAATTACAGAAGGTAGATTTGAATGAAAAGTTATGGATTATCTGAAGAACAGGTTGAATTCTCTTTATGTGGAATTGGGGATTTTGAGAGAATAAATAAAAAAAAATATTAATAATCATATGAGGTTTGTCACCATTGAGTTAAAACCTTCAAGTATCTGATAGAAAGCCAAAGTCAACAAGTTAGCTGGAGGATAACCTCAGGAGAGGAACTTTGAAGTTTAGGAATGGCCTAGTTAAAGTCCAGAACTGTATCTGATAAAAACATTAGATCTCATCATACTCTGACTCATTTGGGAAGTGCTTATGTCACAGAGTGGGAACACGGTTACCATGTAGATTGCTGACCCACTCCTAACAAAAAACCCAGAATTCTATAATCCAATCAAAGGATTAGTTTGAAGATGGGCGCTTATGCAACCAGATTATTGAAGCTTTAATTCAGGTCATATCTGCTTGTCTTATAGATTGGTCTGTTTAACAGTAGAAAATAAAGGCAGATGTTAGAGCAAGCTGCTGAATGAATCCAGAGTGGTTTGCATGTCAGTCAGATGCGTGGTTAAAGTGAAATCAACCGTCTGCTACATTATGCATCATCTTAGTGTGTGGCTTCTGTTCCAATTCAGACAACTGCATATGTGGGTCTCCATTTACCCCTCACAACGCTTCTGCTATTGGTCGGGGTCTGCAATTACACTAAAGTGAGATCCTCACCCTGATTCCTCTTTGGTCTTAGTGTGTTGGTGAAATAAATTATCAACCATTTTGCATCTGCATCCAGATCAAAGATCAGACCTACACAGGAGGATCAGGGTGACGTGTGAAGAGGAATATTATGCCAACATCAAAGTAGGATTTATCGAAGGCAAGATGAGGTGTGATGACAGCTGCTCTACGATGCTTCATCCTTTGCTGTGGTAAATGTGTTATAGCAGCTCATTAGTCCATTTAAGCTATACATACATATAGAAGTTGGTAAAAGGAGAGGAGAATTTTTTTGAGTGCATCACTGTAGGCATTAACATCCCATATGGTCTAGTTGTCAGGATTCCTGGTTTTCACCCAGGCGGCCTGGGTTCAATTCCCGGTGTGGGAACTTCACTGTTTTGAGTAGGATCAGTTCCCATACGACATTCCCAGAGGGCCAACGACTGTTGGATCCTTGTTCCCAACCCAGATGAAACACCTCCTCAGTATCCGGTCTATTTCTCCATTCCTCTTAACCGTTTATTTACTTATAAGTCTGGTAATAGATGTTGCAGAGGTAGCCCAACAGATTCGCTTTCACAAGCAGACTATTATGACTGTTGTCATAAGGCAAAAAGAAGTCAACAGACAACCAAAGTAAAAGTAACCAATGACACAATGAAATAATGCAGGATATCGCCCCTGCATTGAGGGGTTGGAAATTGAGAACATATTTTATGTCTTATATTTTGGTATCTGTAAATATTTTAGCCTTTCTGTATATTTTTTTGCACAGCAAATTCAAAAGTCTTTTTTTTTTTTTTACTCCCCCTGGTTGTTAGTCGTATTATTTATCCTTGCAAATGAGTAAAAAGGAATAATTGGAAGCCCAAAATGAAGATGAAATTCATGCACATGAGTGGATGAGAGCCGACTGCAGCTTTATCACGTTAGGCTGCAGAAAGTAGATAAAAGCAAGAAAATAAGTTGAAATAGAGCAGGGGGCATTACTGGAGCAGTCTCACCTGGATGTACATCAGTAATACAGATAAATGGGAATAAGATACAAACTTTTCCACATTTACAGCATTCATAGTACTGTAGCTTTAATTAAGGTCGTTCAAGTGCTATGAACTACCATGAACCTCACAGGGGCTTCAGAACAGGCAGCTGATGCCAGCTAAAGCAGACTTTGGAGCCTCTGGAACCAGCTAAAATCTGCAAACCCACATTATTGACTAGCTCAGTCAGAGCTGCTATAGTAGCACTTTAAGGGAATCACACTAATATAACAAAGGGGGGTGGGTTTGAGTTTAATTTTTTTTTGTATTTATGAGTGAAATTATTTTCATCTTAAAACTTTAAGGAAA